TTAGCTAGATGCACCGTGCGCTTTCAGGCTGCTCGATATGAATTGATAAAAAAATCCGAAAATGTCAGGCACTGATAGATAACTTCAGCCAAGGCAATTTCGCTATAGGCAGTTAACTAGGGATCGAACGCTAGATTCCTCTGGTCCGTCTCGAATTTTACTAACTTTCTGCTGTCAAATAATGCTCACTGTCCTAAAACTTTGTTTATAATGTGTGTGTGTCAGTGTATCATTTGACATTTTTATCTGAGACGCATGAGGATACATAATAGGATATGCTTGGATTTCTGTCAATTAGAAGCAAGTTATGTCTTGGCAATTTTTTAAATCACCTCTTTCGTCCGAACTCATTTGTTGGTCATTGAATCGAATGTTCGGTTATGTCAGACGTCCGCCCAAATTCCTAAGAATTTTCGCTAGTTATTTTATATTATTTGGTGCTTTACTTCGGATTTTGTGAAACTTACATTCACGTGCAACTTTCTTTCTTTCCTTATTACAGTAAAAAATATTAGTGCCCATGATTTAGGCGTGTAGGATTCGGACTGAAATTACGAAGAGCCCGAGACAGTTCATCGAACTAGATGGATCGCTTGTTTGTAACAGGTTCTGTTGATATACTTATCTAAATAAAGCTATAGTTTGGGTATCCTTTTGCAGTTATCATCGAACAAATTTAAATAAACGGTGCTCTAAATATGGCTTGTCTTTCACATAGACGAATGAGCCAATCCAAGTATGAACTCGTCACCTATATCCGGAGTGTCAGAGTATCAGGTAGCTGCCGGAAACTAGGCAAACTTGCCTTCTCTGTTTATTAAACCACGCATCTAAAGCAACAAAGCAGTTTGTCGGATAAAAACCTGGGTACATCTCTGAAAGTCATGCTGAAAAATCGCCCATAACTATTTGCTTCGTTTAATTTGTTGGTGTGGTGATATATGTCCTTTGTATGAATTCACGCTCGAAATCTACCCCTAGTGGATAATGGGTCTCAAAGAACGCAGAAGCCCAAAGTGCCCGGGAGAGGTCATCAGTGAATATGAACGAGGAGATTCTCACAAATAGTAGTCCTAATGTGACATAATTTCCAGCAGCATTTTTGCGCCATCGAACGCTGAGTTTGATTTGATCAAATGGGCACCACCTGTTCATTTTGTCTTGCTATTCATTGGTCTGTCATTTCGTACGTTTCCAAACTTCTGTGGAATCCATTATTATTTATTATTATTTACTCCTACTTAAGGGAGTGGGGATTTCCAACAGGAGCTCCTAAGCACAACCAACCCTCTTTCAAGGCCACCTTGGACATGGACAAGCATTCTGCAGGTACCCAATTTTCAAAGTAGCTCGACAGAAAATCCCAATCAGCAACCACAGGCGACAGACAACGTGAATGTTAACGGAGCAGCCACATTTGGAAACTACTCAGCTCTCACATCCACTGTTTCATCCAGAACCACTGCCTGCCCTAACACACGAATAGCCGGGTTTCTGGATCCTCCGTTTCATGATGATACCTTAACCGGCCGCCATTTCACGATCCATACAAATAACGTCCCTTCGGACGGTGGTGCACATAAGGGTGAAGACAAACACGAGACAGTGACAGACATAGCTATGAGAACGACGACAGCGACCAACGAGAGGATGAATAGAGACTGTTCTACTACGTATGTATACGCTGATGCCGATCGCGAGGACCCAGCCGCAAGCGCTTGGAATTCCGTTGAGACCGAGTGGATCCCAACACTGCATCAGCCTGCTCCCCCCAGTGAGGTCGGCAGACCCACTGCCCTGTTCTCCTCTTCCGCCTCGTCCTCATCCTCAAGCTCCTCTTCCTCTTAAGTCTCCCCTTCCTTCTACTTCATTATCCTCCTCGCTAAGACTCTCACTGCGTGAAGCTCATCAAAAGTTATACCCGAGAGCTGTGCTTTTGGCTGACTGGAGCTTTGTCCAGAGACGGTGGGTGCGTATTTCTGCCTTCTCTCTTCATATGCAGCCTCCCTCTCTCCATTCCACGAGATACCGCTGTAAAACTCGACTGGCAGAAAATTCCAAGTTTTCTCTTTTGTAAATAGATCTTGTAAATGTGATGAAAAGCGACGAGGGGTTCTGTTGCCTATACTGTGGCCAAATACGTTATTCTATTTGAAAAACAGGGAATAAAACCGAAAATTACTGAACAAACTTCGTCAGGGGACTGCTGTCGAGGACTCTGAACAAGAGCTCTGAGGCAAAACGAAGTCGATCACATTCAACCCGTTAATCAGTGAATGGCACTGTACGCTAACCCATGACACAAGCGGCAGTGCTGGCTAAATGACCAAATAATTTCAATTTTGAACCTTAGAACGCCGGACTGGCTTCCTTAGCCTCCTCTGTCCTTGGCGCTCACACTTCCCCAGTAAAGGTGGTCAACTTTAGGGGCAGCTAAGGCCTAGGACCTGAAGAGGCATTTAAACATGGGTAATGCGTGCTGGATGATCCTGCTTCAGCTGATAAGATGCTAAGGCCAGTAAGTAGGCTGGTGGCTGATTTACATAGGCTTATCAGTATCCGAACAAAGTCAGTTGAATGAGACTTCATTAGATTAAGGTTGGAACGAAGGATAATGTCATAATTCGCAAAGGGAACAACATGCATGCAAACAATGACAACTTGACAATTATTGCGAAAATCAGACAGTTTCGCTGTGACAAGATGCACAAATGTAAAAAGTAAGTGAAGCACGACTTGGGAGCTGGCGTCATTTCTCCCCACATCAAGAGCGTCTCGGAGTTCGTCAGCCACCTTCTTAAACCACTTGGGATTGGAGAAACACAGATCCGAGGCAACCATCAGGCGCCAGATCATGAGGCTAAAAGACCTACTGCCACGACAAGAAACGTCAAAAGTCGTATACCGGATATGATACAGTTGCGGAAAAAGAAACCACTTCGGAGGAGCCCGAAGATCGCTGTTGACGCGAATGGCCGAACACACAGCATCAATGGGGAGAAATGACGCCAATTCCAAAGTCGTGGCTCATTAGCCGAGACCCTGCCAGACACTCATTTTCGATAGGGTCGAAATTCTCGCGATAGATGACAATCGCGTAAGTCGTGAGTCACTTGAGCCGTGGTTCATCGACGCCCACTCTATTAAGAAGTGCAATGACCTCCATTCTCCATATTCAGTGTTGACTTAGCCAGGGGAGGATAATTTGCAACGCGGGAACGGGCAGACGAAAACTGTTTTCAGTGTCATCGTCGGTGAGCCAAATGGATGAGTAATTATCATGTAAACTCCACCACTGGTGTTGGAATCGCGGCCACTATCGGGAAAAGGGCAATTATTTTTGATTAAGAGGGGAGATATTAGCTTTGCTAGGTATGCGGTAGCATAATGACTACATCCTATAAATACCGCAACCCCTTGTATACGAAGTACCCGTATCTGACACTGTCTTTAATTATGGACTCAAATATAAATCCGAAACGTCAGGCGATTGTATTCTTTCTCCCATCAAGGCCGCTGAGTTTTTTACAAACACGTCAAGCTAATTATCAGAATGTGCCAAAAGCAACTGTTAATTTCTTGGGCCTGGTAGTAATCTGGTGAACTCTGGATTTATTCATTGATATTTTGGCAGATTTTGAATAATTCATATTGACCCAACTGTGAAAAACTCGGCGCCTCGGTGGGATTCGAACCCACGCAGTAAGGGGGAAGGCTTTAGTACAGCCAACGCTCTAACCACCTGAGCTACGAGGTGATTTATTGCTTAGGAAATCCCTCTTGGCAAGTCAACTTACTATATCAGAATTTGAGGATTCCCCAAGTTTCAGTAGACTGGGTGGGTAACTTGACTGAACTCACGGCTCCCGCTGGGGCCTCGTAACTAAGGTGGTTAGAGCGTTGGCCGTACTCAATTCTTACTCTTGCTGTCGTGGGCACGACTCCCACTGAGATCGCCGAGTTCGCACAGTTGGGTCAAATAAGTTATTCAAATCCACCAACAACTTATTGACTTACTGTTGTTGGCTGAGCTGAAGATTGTAACCAAAGTTTTAAAATCATTGCTGGAAAACACATTTGTTCAAGTTAATCTCACATTCCGTGTCATTTTAAACATACTGGGTCACACACATCAGGAATTCCCAATGTAGATCTCCTCTAGGTCAGGCACGATGAACAGATTAAAAATGTTAAATAATGTGAAATTATTCCGCATTTATATCATGTTAACAAGATAAGGATGCTTATTGTTTTCTAAATAAAAGAAATCAAGAATATTCCTTGCGTTTCTTAAGTGCTCTCAAGCTCTATATTAACTGTTCTGGACGGTTATCTAAACAGTAACAGCTTCACGGGCGAAGGCTGATCCTCAAACAGCCACAGAAATAATCAGGTTGTTTACTTTAGTCTGACATAGCATTCCCACTGTTAGGGAAATCCATACAAACGCAACACCCAGCACGGAAGTTTGCTCCGAAAACTAATCAGTGATTCTTTCTATCTAACTACGTCCGTATTACGCTTGCGGGTTCGCGCATGCCTGTTGGATTAGGTTTTCAAGCATAACCGTGGGGTGCATATCACTGCATTTATTCCATGGCCGACTTAGTCCGTCTAGCGATCATTCTTCACAATTTATGTACCTCGCTTGCAAGACCTGGGAAAAAACCAAATCCGTTTCCCTCCAGTATTACAAAAATAGCATATCATAGGAAAATAAGACTCTATACCCTAAATGAACCTTGAAAATAGTACAACTGTGCACACTTCAAAGTCTGGCCACCAATTTTAGATCCTGCACTTACGCCATCATGCGCATCCTGCTGAACCACACTGCTTACTCCCTTAGCTGAAAGTGAACAAACAAGTAAATGCTGAATGAGAACGAAGAGGCCCGAGAGACGAGTCGTGCAGACATGGCTTCACGCTTTCCTTAGTCTAAATAATTACTTGTTAATCACAGGTGGCCAACTCTACAACATATTAAAAAGTCACCAACTATGCCTCGAACCGCTGGTAAGCAAGTTTAAGGAAGCTGGAGATAATACACGTATAGACGTGTACTGTGCGTGACCGATCTCGTGAAATGTTAGCCAAAATTCTGGAATGCGTTTCCGATTAGGAAGGATTACTTAAGTGGGGTTTTAAGAATGATTATCGTGCAGCATAATCCCATAACTTTTCGGACTCGCCAGGATGTCGGCTTTTGAATGCACTTCATTTTGACCACCTTCAGAAACCACACTCGGTAAGAAATGACTACTTAGGTAGCATGCATGTTTACTAGTGATTTTCGATGGTCTTTCAAATTCAAATGTATTTACAGAAAACACGCTCAAAAATATGCTTCCTTTTGCTCATTTGGAAGGAAATCACATTGTTTTCATATTTTATGCCCAAAGAAAGTGTATTATTTAGGTTTTAAAAGAGTTTCTTGATTCCCGAATAATTTCTAGCCTGATCTGACATTACACCAGCGTTTAGCAATTTCAGTCTACAAGATGCATGCTTTCCGCGTAAGGAAAATCATATATTCCTCTGTGTCTTCAAGAAGATACCATATAGAGTTCATGAAATTTCGTAATGGATCCGGACTGTGTTGTACGTTTCATAAGGAGCATTAGTAAACGGACTTGTGCGGTCTTGCGTGCATGGACATCGCGCGGTCTTAAAAATCTTATAATTAGAAACTTTTTAAAACCTAAAGATACACTTTCTTCGGGCATAAAATATGAACACAGTGTGATTTCCTCCCAAATGAGTAAAATAAAGCTTATTTTGTGCATGTTTTCTGCAAAATATATTTGAATTTACAAGACCATCGAAAATCAATAGGAATAATGCATGCTACCTAAGTAGTCATTTCTTACCGAGTGTGGTTTCCGCAGGTGGTCAAAATGAAGTGCACTCAAAAGCTGACATCCTGGCGAGTCCGAAATGTTATAGGGTTATGCTGCATGATAATCATTATTAAAACCCCACTTAAGTAATCCCTCCTAATCGGAAACGCATTCCAGAATTTTGGCTAACAGTTCATGAGATCGGTCACACACTGTATATACCTGTATATATCCATAACACAATACGCGGTGGACATCGTCGGCAACGACGGTCGAAGTGTCGTATATACATGGGAACGGAATGCTGGCAAAGATGTGAGCAGATGGATACATCATTGTTTCGGGCTTACTCTGTTTTCATCGAACCACATTCTGAGACCAGAAACACAAAAATTAGTACGCGCACAACGCAGACGGTCTGGAGGTGGAGTCTGCCAGATGGGCCATGAGCACTTCATTGAACCAAATCTCATCATAACCTCGTCAGCTGGCATTCTCTGCCAGTGTAGGCGGATGCTGCAGAAAGTCTTTCAATTACGATATTTTTAAATCTAAACTTATTTCCTCTTTCAAGCAACAAGTTTCTAGGGCGGTGTTATCTAAACGCCAATTGTATAACTTTGTATAGTTTTTCTTCCTTTCTAACGAAACTAATTGGTTTTACAACAACGTTGAAAGCAGTTGAAATAAATATATTCTAATTAAGTAGGGGTTTCTGTTCACGGGATATCTCGACCCAAGTGATTGAGAGGTTTCGCACTTTAAGGGCAGAGTATTATGGTATTTGAAATAACTTGATATTACGTTCCAAAATTATCAACATGCAGTCCCGTTTATGCACTACTTTTACTTGAATTACAAAGTAGCGAGTTCGTATATTCTTACACATTCTAAGGGCTGCGTTATCATACGAGAACTCTCATCTTCTGACATACATTTACTACCAGCTGGGTTGTTATGCTTATCTGTAAAGCAAAACCGGGCCAGGTTCCCAAACGGACAATCTACCAGTCCCTTCGTATTCGTTTGCCCCGTTCCGCGAGAACTACTGATGAAGCTACCAATGCAAGGCGCGCACAAAATATGTGAGTGAACAAGTACTGTATCCTTATCCCCCCGCCTGCCTCTTCCTCCTCCTCTCCGCCGCCAACTAACTCTGACAATTCTTCTGACCCACCACTTCCATCCTCCTTCTCCTCCTCCTCCTCCTCCTCCTCCTCGCCCACTACTCCAACGGCGGCCGCTCAGGCGACTGTCCCGCGCACAACAAGCGACACTTCCACTACCTCCCCCGACTCCAGCGATGAGGATCAGGACTACACCTGCCCTCACTGCGACCGTACCTTCACCTCACACATCGGCCTGGTCGGTCACTTGCGAATCCATCGCACAGAGACTGGCGAACCAGTGCGTGAATCACCAACCTACACCCACCGCACTCGCATCCACTGCCCACACTGCCCTCGCACCTTCAGGCATCGCATGGGCCTTTTCGGCCACGTGCGCATCCACGAGAGCGGCCTTGACCGCACTCCCGACACACCCACCACATCCAACACATCCACCGTGCACAGCCCCATCCTCGCTCCATCCGTCCGCGCCAACACCACCACCACCGCCTCCTCTGTAGCTGACACTGACACCGCCGACTTCTCATGCCCACACTGTCCACGCAAATTCACCTCACGCATCGGCCTGGTCGGTCACTTGCGAATCCATCGCACAGAGACCGGCGAACCAGTGCCTGGAGCACCAACCTGTACCCACCAAGCTCGTCTCAACTGCCCACACTGCCCTCGCACTTTCAGGCATCGCAAGGGTCTCTTCGGCCACATGCGTATCCCCGACGACCTGCGGTAGACAACCGCCGGTCACACCACACTCACTCCCTACCTCCTCCTCCTCCACCACCACCATCACCCCACCAGAAATCAACACTCACACAGCTCATGCACCCAACTGCCACCTCCCACGCAAGTGGGAAGTCCGCATCTCGACTCGGTCCCCATGCGGCTTCGGCTGCACGGGTGACTTGAGTCCGAGACTATCCCGACACGTCAAGCGTCGTGGATAGGAAGGTTGCTGATTGACGCCCGCTCTCGGTTCACGCAGTTCGTCGAGTTGTGTGGAGTGGCGGACTGGTGGACTGGGGACGGGCTGAAACAGCACCTTCCACGGCACTCTCACGCAAGTGAGAGACACGCCGTTCAACCCCCGTTGTGTGAAATCCTGGTGTTGTGTGTATGGGGGGCCAGGTCGTGCCGTGGCGCGCGCAGTCATGGTCAGTCGACCATAACAGCCACCGCGCCCATTCCCCACTCCAGTCTGCTGACCGGCTCGGACAGCGGCTGGGGTGTGGGAGTGGGAAGGGAGAGTGAGGTCGACGACTCAGCGCACTTTCTCCTCATTATAAACAATCTGACGCGCTTGAAGCTATCACGGTGCGCTAAAAGCCGTGGCTTGGAAGGTTGCCAACTGACGGGGTAACTTGGACCTCCTCCTTGACCGGAGGCGGTCTGAGAGTCAGGCTGCAATGGCTCCTTTTTAATGTGGCCTTTATGGCGCTCCCATCACAGTGTGGGATCCGAGCCAGGCGTCGGCGGCACGCCTAGGTGCGGCTGTTTCGGCCGTACCAGCCTCCAAATCTCTGTTGTGATTGGTTGAAATCCTGGTCATTTGCTGTGTGGACCAGGGGGCGTGGTGGAACGCCAAGGTTAGGATCCGTCCGAGCCATCCACCTGCGGCCTCCCTCGTCTCCGGTCTTCTGGACTCTTTCTTGACACCGGGCTCGGGCGAGGGAGGAGGAGAGAGTGTAGGTAGATGCTACGCAAGTCTACCGGCACTATAAACCCCTGCGTAAGTCGCCGTCCCTGCTCCCATTGCTGCTGCAACTGTGGGGCACACGGTGGACATCATCGAAACCGATGGTCGAACTGTCAAAGCAAAACCAGAAAATTCCAAGGGCACTTCATCGCGTCCTCACACACCAAATGACGATCTGTAAGAAGGTGATAATTATTCCTTTCAGAAGAGTGCATTAGGTTTTCTATCCAGCAGACAGCATAAGTACTTCTCCTCACTTGTATGAACTAAAAGTTGTAGCGGCAGAAAAACACCAAACTGGAATAAATGAGGTCCGGCAAACCTTGACGCAACCTTCCGCGTCTTGTTCTCACAGTTACTCCTTAACTCCCAAGGCGAGGGTACTGCGAAGATTAAGTGAATGTTTCAATGCGTTTGTTTCCGAATACCAGTGAGTGAGCAGATTTTTGAACCGCCAGGAGAAACCAAACCATAGAAAATCTCGAGAAAAATCAGTTATAACCGGTTGTATTAAATAAATTTAATGGGTAGAGCTAGACAGAGACGTGTTTACAATAAGTATGTGGGAGGTGGGGAACCTCCTAGGTAATCAGCTCTTACTTTTCAGTTAGTACAGTAGATTCGACTTCAGAGTGTGAGAATGGACGAAACGAATGCAGATATTGATTCCCCTCTGGCCCATGGTCAAATTCAATCATGACGTCAGTGTTCATAACCGCATATACAAATCCAATACGGACTTCTAACGGGTTCATCCCTTCCACTCGGTGAGGACTTGCAAAACGCTGGGGAGCAGTAACGATGTGAGTGTGAGTTGGATTGTGATGAGGGACTTATGTAGCCTCGACTATATTCCTTTTTCTCACGTTCACCTTAATCTGCTGGTCGGACAAGGTGAAAACCACTTGAAATTAAAGTAGGTCCAGTGGATCGCCTGGCACAAAACCAACATCCATACGTGCACAGGCCAGACTTCAATATCTTGGATATCTCTTCAGTGCGAACTGCCGCATAGGCAGGAGCCGCTGTGACCTGAACTTCAGTCCAAAAGAGGACCGAGCCAAACCCTCGATCAGTTGCCCTCACAATCATGACTTTTAGCGTGCCGTAACATTTTGAAAGTACAAAATATTTAGCGCAATGGGAAAGTAAGCGCCGTATCGGTGCGTGCGTGAAGGCCGAAAGTTCCCAAACCGACACATTAAGGTGGGAATCATTCAGCCAACTATTCATAAATCATTTAGCCCAATTCTGAAAAACTCGGCAGCCTCGGTGGGATTCGAACTGACAACAGTAAGGGCAACGCTTGAGTACAGCCAACGCTCTAACCACCTGAACTACGAGGCGCCAGCCAGAGGCAGTGAGTTTAGTCACATTTGGGTCAAGTTACCCGCCCAGCCTAGTGCAACGTATGGAATCGTCAGAACCTGATACAGTAAGCTGACTGTCCAAACAGGATTTCCTAAGCAATCAATCGAGAGTCCACCAGATGATTACCAGATTTACTTAATTGATGGGCGTTTTGGCAGATTTAAATAATTCCTTTGAACTAGTTGTGGAAAACCCGGTGACTCCCAGTCAAGGTCTCGTAGTTCAGGTGGTTAGTGTTGGCTGTAATTGCGTCCTACCCTTGCTGTCTTGGATTTGAATTCCTCTGAGGCGGCTAAGTTTTACACATTTGGGTCAAATTAACTCTTCAAGCCTGCCAAACAAACCTATTAATATTAATAAGCCACTAGATCTTCCCGGCTTTTAATGCAATTTGACGATTAGTAAAGCATGAAACACCGGACCAACCGGCTAACCGCGTTTGTCTGGTAGTATATTTTCCCGGATTTAAATCCCACGGCTCCTTCATCAGTTTTATGGGTGCCTGAATACGGCCAGTATGCTAGAGGTCACCATTTCAGTCTGAATTGTCCTAGTCATCATTACTCAACAGGTGATTTTCCTTCACTGTGCAAATGCAAGTGTTCCAGGCGAGAGCTCCGAGACAAAACACATCAATTGTATCCTATCCTGCAACCAGGCCGTGCCGGTTGGTGGCACCACTACGCGACTTTATATTTCCGGACCCAGCCGACAGAATGAGTCCGTGACCCGTACTAGGAAGTATGACCTAGTAATCAAGTTTAGAACTTCAAACCTTCATTTCCTGAGATGGGCGTCAGATTGACGACGGCCAATAGCCCAGTGGCCACTAAAGGTCTCTCCTGTATCTATGGCTAATACCTCAACAGCGAAGAAACGTTTCATGCGTCGCGACCCTGTTCCACCGCCTTCCGCTTGTCAGGCGTAGGGGCTAGAGGCACCTGGAGCATATCTGCATGCTCACTACGGCTGATTCAGTTTTCTCTGGCGTTTGTTGCGCTGCATACATACTTTTGATACATCACTCATGGAAGTTAAAGGCTGCGACGTCCGATGGCGGTCAAAATGGTCTGGTCTCCCACAGGTGAAAATTCACAAATGCAGGCTGATTGTCATTCTCCACCTTGCCCGAAATCGGGCGAACATTAATTTATTCATTCAGCAGGAATGCTACTAGGGACAAGACAGATCGCAACGGGCATCCCCGATCATGGCCTAACTGCAGACCGGCAAAACTCGCTGTGGGAGGGCCCACGCCAAGGAAAAGACGGAAAACCCATATCCATCTGCAAATCAGGACAGGTAAGTGGACGACATTCTGGTGCGCCTATCACCTCTCGCAGTGGCCTCATTTCATCAAATCCAGCCACGTTCTGATCTACCTACAGGCCATAAATGGCAGCGAAGCAGTTCTGGCTCTTCTAGATTACTCCTTGAAAGTTGTGAACAGCGGTTGCTGGTACTCGTTCATTTCCCGACTTTCCGTCCGTCGACAACGGCTTTCTCACTTAGGTAACACACATCAGCATTCGGTTTTTAGAACGTCGGTCGGACTGCCTGGTGCTTGACCGACTCCCAGACTTTGTCCGTAAGGTACGGATCAGAGGACGCTCCCAGCGTCTTTCGAGGAGCCTTCGCCATGGTTAACGAGCCTTGTCGTTTATCAATAGCCTTTTTTAATAAACCGACTATGTACCCACGGTGGTCTGAAATTCATAAAACCAGGCAGAACCGGTGTTCTCGATGCTGTTATGCTGGTAGTCGCGCAAAGAGGGAAGACAGTAGTCCAAATACTCGCAAAACTTAATAGCAATTTTTTTGTTGTTCGGCAAGTCAAGCTCCATTTTAACAGAACAACGATTCATGTACGATAAGGACGGAGTCAACAGAAGTCCTGGTGTGACTTAGCATCAAACTACGGTTGTTGAGGGATGTTAAGACTTTGTGCGCAATACCCAGCCAACCCATCCCACCAACGTAACAGCACGGAGCGCATGTCATTAGCCCACACATAAAAAGGTGTTCTTACATCTGACAGCAGACCTCGAAGTCGAATTAACACCCGAACGGAGGGGCTATGAGGTAATGTTTAGAGGAAAGGGCTCACTAGATGTGTCCACAATTCGGCATGTTAACGCAGAAGGCCAGCAAATGAGACCCTGTCAAGGAAAATCAACCTCTCGATCAAAATTATTGCAGAAAATATGTACATGAGAACAGGTGGGGTCATTAGGATGATAAGGCCAACAGATTCTTAGATTCATCCGGTCTTCGTACTGCCAACAGTGGATGCAGCTGTAGCAGCGGCCTTCTTCTTGCTTCTCCGCTTATTCTGTCGGGCTGCCCTCCGACCTGCAAGCGAGTAGTAGTCATCGTCCTCGGAGTCATTACCAACAGCTGTCTTACTGTCCTGAACATCATTCGGGGAGGTTATAGAAGAGCCGTCAAGTGGAGCGGCTGTCGGTTCCGTAACATCCGGTAGCGTTCGAGGGCTGACAGATTCAGGCACCGACTCAGGAATCGACTCGTGAGTCTTCTTTAACTGTTTGGACCTGGCTGCAGCCTGTCGACTACGGGTGGCGTCCCCTGGCCAGGCCGGACCAATAATTTCAATGCAAAATCGGTTTTTGGCCTGCTCCTCCAGAATGTTCAACAAGGCATGGTAATTATCCGGTTCAATTACGGCAGCCTAGAAGGCAAAAATTAACAGTTACAGACGGTAGATACAGTAAATAGCATGAATTAATGTCCTGGTAAGAAGAGTCAAGGACGAACCACTAGACGAGACCGAGTGTCGGTAGGCTAGCTATTCCCATATGAATACACTAAGAGAACAAAAAAGAAACCAGGCCTGCACAGCCACAAAACTAGAGTTGCGTACTTTTTATGGAATTGGTTGGGTATTCAAAAAAATTCAGCATCTGCGAGAGGAGCCAGAGACGGTATTCAAAAGAACAGCAAATAATGGATTTCTAGGTATTTATTGGTCTTCTCTTATTGCAGTGACAGGGTTATTTTAAAAGCTAGACGCCTTAAGCACAGCCTGGACACTGTTCTACAGAATACGACAAATATTTCATTGATCTGGCGGCAATCACGACTTCTCAAAGAAGCAGTAGTGAACTCTGGTGGACCGAATCACAGAGGGCGACCAGCGCAGCATGAAGTTCATTAGAGTCTCACATACGAGAGATATTGGCACCAAATAATCATAACAATGCGCCATCGAGGTCTGGAATTTAGGTAACCGCATAATCGGAGGAAAATAAGGGAGCCCAACATGCCATAGCGATTGGGAAGGAAACAGCCGGCGGTAAGCTCTTCCCTCTTACGCGTTCGTCGCTGTTGAACAACTATTAGGTTAGCCAGAGGGTCAAAGTAAAGACAAGCCTTCCTACAAACCCACTGAGTGCAAGTACAACATTGTAGGGAAGAAGTCATCGTTGCTCAACCCGACATTTCTCTGCGAGTGGTGATGGACTAAGAGAAGCTGGACACAAAATTTCATGTGATGCCTGTCCGCAGGACTAAAGCAATTATGCTGTTTCCCTCAATATAAAAATAAGAATGTCGCAACTGCGGGGGCGCTAACTTAGTGGAAAACACCATAAAGACTTCTCAGAATCCCGGTAAACCATCTTCGCAACCCGAGGAGGCGTACATAAGGGAGAACTGAGGAATAAATACCATTTCCCGTGATAGGGCCCAGATAGAGTTCAGCACGGCTGCAATCATATCTAGACGGTTTCGATAACGCCACGGATAATATCTGTTTATGTGTGATTATTAGCAGCAGCGGCGGATCTGGAGAGCACGACCCACTTGCCCCTCCAGCGACATGCCGATTATGGGTGTAAGAACCACTTACGGGTCTTGACGGACCGCGTCTTGAGGAGGCGGGAGTGCAAACTGTGCCCAAATTGACTCGGCCATACTTCTTAATAGTCTGCGAACTTAACGCCGTCAGAATGAGTGCGGACTCACATTGGAGCTGAGGTCTGGACCTTACTCAAAGGACCGCCCTTTAGCAAAGATCGTTGTAAACCTTCATTTTTCGTCCGTCTTTTGCCCGCACGGCTCGGCATGCACAATCATATAGCACTGGGCAGACAGATGCTCCCGTGGCGATGGAAATATCCGGATAGTTCCAGAGGCTGTACCGAAGGCTAGTGAAAATTCTACGGACGGCATCAACTCGGATGACGACGCTGTCATTACAGTCCGTCCGGCAGCTTCGCCTCGGGATATTCGGAGCAGTCCAATTCTTCTAAATGACGGCCATTTATCAAGAGGACCACCTTTTGCCGGTTAAATGTAGCTTAAGAACGCTTTATCCTTCCAACGTTGGCGGATAGGGCGACTGATCTAGGAACCACGCTCACCCGCAACAGAACATTCCAGATGTCATTACAGCTTAATGTCAGAAGGGTGATATGGTCGATATAGTCAAGGTCACTTAGCCAGCATCCCAGTGGAAATTCGGCTCCGTTAAAACCACAGAGCCCCTCCGAGATTACGACCAATGACGGTGTGTGACAGAGTGCAAGCTTGCAGGACGTTGTACTGAATCTCCCGAGGCTGCTGTGGATATCACACTGAGCAAAACTTTACCAATCTTCATGGCCGGGAAAACACTTTTCAGGACTAACACGTGAGCAATAATAACTATCTTGTAGGAGCATATTTTCAAGCCCAGATCCCCTGCATCAGTACGCATATGTAATAAATCACGGTGCATGTATGCAAAAGAAATCACCAACATAATCAGGGCAGGCGATGTCCATGATAGATGTTAACTTACCCTATGGTAAAAGCGTGCGGACGTGCAGTGTAGAACTCAATGTGTCAGGCAGTTTAATAGAATTGCCAAGATAATGCACACATGACGGATGCCGGAGATAAATCGGCGAAAGTACTCTCCACGCCATCCCTTACGATAGATGGCCTAATTCAGTAGAACCAACTTAGGCTGTATGTTTCATTCCGCACGAGCGACCACACAAAGTTGACATGGACTGGAAGAAATGTATATTCCAAAAACTGTGAGAGAGACGAGAGTTGGCGGCTTGTAACGACGACCATGTCCAATGGTTGAATGAAAGGGGAAGTGTTGACCAGCGCACGTTGCTCAGGCCGAAACTCCAACTGACTGTCCACCGAATCACACCATAACCGTAAACGTTGTGAGAACACGACTGCGGAGCATAAGCGGCATTGGTATGATGTCGTGGTAACTCGTTACACAGGTACCTGTCGCTCTCGGCAGTGTGAGTAGAATAGCGTAACGGCAGTGTTAATCCAGTCTGTGAGTGCATTCTCTGTTGTAAATTTTTGCCAGGAGATCATGTAATTGGGTGGTTAATAAGATCGGGCAGAGCCCGCTGACTTCCACAACCCTCGTCAACTGCCCCATCGGACCATATCACTGAGAGTCTCTCCAGACGACTGTGGACTGCAGTTGATAGTCAAACGCCGGAGTGCCCTCAAACTAGACGGTGGCTGAAAAGGTTGAGCAGGCCGTATTTAGAAGCTGGGCAAAATACTCTTCTACAAGATTGCCGTTTATAACAGTGACACTGATATCGCACCGTGATTGTCGCTGACCGGTGGAGCAAATGGGTGACAGAGTGGTTCCCCTCCAAAATTTGGTGTATCATTCGGGCATCGTGACCAGCTGATGCGCAAACTGGATCTCAATCAGTTTAACTCCAGAATTTGTTACGATCGTGCTGTGCAGCACACGCGGTCCCACGATGTAAGTCTCTGAACCTCGGATCGCCATGATTGACGGCCAACTACGACCCTGCATTAACCGCCAAACAAATCGCTTTGGCAGAGATTCCATCCTTGCGGTGATGACTACTGCCGTATGTGTCGGTTGTCGTTTCCGTCCGTGAGATAAATGGGTTTAAGACAGTCGTGCCAAAACCACAGCGGCTACGGAATTATTGTAACGGTCAACGCCGTACTTCCTCGTACGTCGGTCCTTTCAGGGAGTGTGCAGCCGTGAAAATAGACGAGCTCTTTGAAGAGTATAGTCAGGGCTATTCGCAGTGCCGGTGGCGACACGACACCTCATGCAGCAGCCAAGGACTAAGTTGACCCAGCGGGATGTTCCAAGTATGGAGTGTACTCGGTTTTGTTTGCGACCCAAATCTCAGCACCCTAGTGAAACGCCGGAAACTGGTATTTGTAACGATAAAACGGTTAACCCCTTCATCGTTACCTCAACGGTTACCCAGTAAGTAAAGACCGACAACTTGCCTTATTGCCGCACCGTGCTCACCAATTCTGATAATCCAATCTTCGGCAACGACAAAGTCGCACATTACAACACGCCCAACTATGGTTCGTAAATTACCATAGAATGCGACTTTCTCTGTATCCTCGAGATCCAGCGTTGGGGCGTGTACTGCAATAACTGGTATTGGCAACAGTACTTCAAAGACTCAGAGGTGGAAGCCTCGGTGGAAGGGAAGGTTTGTCTTGACGACTGAAAATAATCGCAGTCCCATTTATACCAGTTGTCAGTGGCACCGTTTTCATAGAGATTGGGGTATTCCGACGCAGCTGGACCCTAAATGGCGCATAAACCATGATCTTGCAGGTACATCCAAGAGAGGGGAAACGTCTGCATTGTACTACGCCAACGGCCGCACAATTAGGTTCTCCGTTGTCAGCGCAAAATAAATCCGCAAATTCCAGTATATGCTGCGTCGTCTCGCCCAAAAATGTCAACTCGGTGGTTTGCCACAGAATTTACTGGCACAGATTCGAGTGCCGTAACGTGAGACGGTAATCATGAGAGATGAGTTCAAATCTCATAAACGATTTGAGACTTGGCACAATGTAATCTTCTATTCCTCAAGTGGGTTCTTGGGCGGACGCCCAGCCCACAAGCCGATGACAATAAGAAAGATTCTTTAATCACAACTCATACTCGCTAGATCATTATACTGTCACTGGACTCTGGGATTTCGTAGGGTGGTCTGCTTGCGAGACTTAAATACCCCCCAGCCTAGTAAGAGTGCCATTGTTATTTGGCGAATATTTCCCGCTAGAGACAAACCTGCACGGCCCACAACCAGCCTTTACTGAAAGTCGACCCCTTAACGGCGTGTAGTTGACAGCAAGGCCGAGAGGAGGAATCTGTCAACCCGCACCTGCCTCTACTCCGCCAATAAACGACGCTCTAGATAAAAAAAGGGCTAAACGGTGGAATGAAGGAATGAAATGGGAGATAAAGATTTTTGGCGACAGAGTTGAGATGGAAATGAAGAACACGACTGACCAACTCGAAAATCCCCTCCTGGTTGCGCTCTTGACGAACAATCTGGTGGACTAATTTGAGGACATTGGGTGATAAGGTATCCACTAGCTTCGGGTCCAGAGATATCAGTATTTCCATCATAGCTGGTGCTATTTTAAATCCTTCCACCGCCCTTAGCTGTTTGATAACTTCTAAAGCCTATCCACTGTGAAAGAAGATTACGTCTTACCTGTTGCTTGGCGCTTTTCTTTGGTTGCAAATTTATGTGACAGTCCTTCATCATTTTTTCGATCATGGTGACGGTAAAGGCCCGGTTAGTTTCAGAATTGATACACTTTTCCGAAACTATCTTGGCAACATCCCTATACATATTTTGGTTTTCTATTTTTCTTTCCTTTCCTGTGAACTGAATGTCGCCGTCGCTCAAAATCTAGAAAAACAATAAGGGCCCAGCAGCTCAACAAACTTGATGCAGAACGACATTTATATCGTCGGTATCAAAATCTCGAAGGATATCCGACTTGGTTGCAAGCTGACCCTTAGACACATTTGAAAAAATTTCCTGGGTCTGAAGAACTTCGTCTATGTTTTTTTCTCTGTCTTTAGGAGAAAAGATGTTAAAATAACTTACAGATTTTCTCGCCAAGCATGCACTTTGTTTGGATAGCAGGCTATTTCGTACCTGTTTCCATTTTTTTTAAGTCGCACAACGGAGACGTTGGTAAGACGTTTTTGATTGATCGGTGTGAAGATGGACATGGATGTGAAGACAGTTTAGTTTTCAAACGACTCCAGTTTTGCGGCAACAAACGTCCGGAGCACAACTAAAAACTCGTTTCTAAACAGTTGAGGAATAAGGAGTGGGGATCTTACTATAGGTCCAGTAACCCTTAGGTAACTGAAAAATGCATAAATTTATTGACGAATAAAGACGCCCGAAGGTAAAAGTTAACACAGTACGACGCAGAAAAAATTCTTTCGCCCAGAAGTGAAGTGCAAAGCATATGCAAGATTCACAAAAACGGCAGGTCTGACTAGACGATCAACAGCAACTCGTGGTGACACAGTAAGAAACTGCCATCATTCGGGGAATTCTGTCCGGAATAACTTAAAGACAGTGGGCGTTCATTTAAAATGCTTTTTGTCCCAGAAGAGTGGGTTTCCGTCCAGAAAAAAAAGTAAATACACGCGTCTGACGTTTCAAATGACAGTGCTGACCATCCATCTTAAGAGGCTGATGTCCCCTCTGCACAGCTCCCATTATAAAGTACACGGGTAACGATTTTCATCGGACCTGAGTCTCGGGTGGGACTTCGTTAGTCAAAAACGCTTGCCGGCAACCGGCGCAAGCGGATGCGTGCAGACAATAGCCAACCAGGGTTCATGTATGGTTAAGCGCAACTCACGTACCCTATAATACGACCTGCGCAGAGGCCATACTAGTCTCCCCAGATGGATACCTAAAAAGTTTGACAGTTCTTGCACACTTTGTCCCCTACTCTCCCTGGTGAATGCCTTCTCCTCTTCTAATAATTTGTCTTTTTATATCGATGGTTCTCGACGAACGGTTCTTTTATCATGGAAGCTATTGTAATGTGAAAAATTCAACTATGAATTGAGAGGAAACCGAAGCTTCTATGGTCTTATCTAGGCTGCCCAAGAGAATTAGCCGACACTTGGCTAGTTGGCTCGTGAATACGGCGGAATGAGCACCCGAGTAAAAAGAACTGCTAGGCAGCTAAATAGCGAAGAAACCCCTTTGCAAGTGGTCCCTGGTGGACGCTGAGTCCCCTGTAGGCAGATATCTCTTTGGGAACCCGCATGGTCCTTAGGAATATCTTTGCGCCAGCGCGACCTTAAAACCGTGCATTCTGCCCTATTAATGGATATCGGGCACATACTTTCATCTGGACGTAGCCATTCTGGAGAAAACATATCCGGAAAATCGAGATTTCAAGCATGTGTTCGCGAGGCGTTCTTGGAGGTATGCACGTTTATTCTGTACTACGTAAAAATGCCCAGTCTACAAAGCTCTGCAAAAAACACGGTTATTCTGTGGACGTCGTTCCAAAGTCTAGCCAACCTCTCTCCCCACCACCCACTTACGCACATCGTATGCCTCTACTAAAAGGGTCATTGATGTTCCAGTGCTAAGAGGTGGCGCACTTGAGCTTGTGACTATACCGTGGGATTAGTCCACAGTGTTCTTCTACCCTGAGAAAACTAAGGAGGTAAAAAAGGAATGTCAGAACCGTCATACAATTGGACTCGCCGCGACATAAACCCATCTTACTCTCGGTAGTCACTACAACGATTCAGAGGCCCAAAGTCGACACAAGTCATACTGAAATTTCGTTCTAGGAGGGGGGCGGGAGGGCAAGTCATTTGAAAAATCGCCCGCCAAAAGACAAGCGAGTGACTAAGACGATATTTCATCGAAACGGCTAGCACGAATCAAGAGTTTGGGACTAGGCAATGAACAACGACAGACGAAACTACGTAGACTTCGTGGGATTGGATACAAATTAACAAACGGTTTTACCAGGCAAAGTAAGCACAACAAAAGCCCTCTGGCGTGCCTTGTACGTGGGGTAATAAAAAAACGCGATATGCGGACGGATTTCATAGTGCTGAATAGTGATTGGTCGAAAATTTTCATGGGAGCCGCGACGGCTTCTGGGATTATTCTTGAGTTTAAATTTTGTAAAATTGTCTTTGAGTGATACTTCCAATCACTGAGAGACCCGAAAGATGTGATTAAGAAAGTCTGTCAAGTAAGAAAATTAGTCAAATAATAAGTTATTATATAAAAGTAGTGTGGTGCACGCCATCTACATCGACTTCAAAAAGGCCTTCGACAGCGTTCCCCACCAACGTCTCTTGCACAAACTGCGCAACGCTGGAATTCGTGGACGCCTTCTTGTATGGATCCAGAGCTTATGGGCTGGACGGTCCCAAAGAGTGCAGGTCGGGCGTCAACAGTCCTCAGAGGTAAGCGTGGTGAGTGGCGTCCCACAGGGCTCAGTCCTAGGTCCCACGTTATTCCTCGTTTTCATAAATGACTGCGTCAAGGACTTAGACTGTGATACCATCCTGTTTTCCGACGACATTAAATTGTAGAAAGTTATTCACAATGCGGCAGACGCAGACCACCTGCAAGCAAACCTGAACAGGCACGAAGACTGGTCGAAGCGCTGGCTTATGCCCTTCAATATAAGCAAGTGCAACTTTCTTCAACTAAGCAGCTTCAGAGCCTCCAGCCCCAGGACTTACTTCCTAGAGGGCACACCCCTGCAACAGGTTGACAGTCAGAAGGACTTGGGTGTATGGATTACATCTTCACTCAAACCAACACTGCACTGCGCGAAGGCGGCTAAATCGGCTATGGCTACACTGCAACTCATTAAGCGAGCATTTATGGAATTTGATTCAGACAGCTTTTCAAAAATATTTGGCACCTACGTGAGGCCTCATCTAGAATACGCCATACAGGCCTGGAGACCTTGGACTGCCAAGGACTATACCGTTTTGGAGAAGGTCCAGAGACGGGCGACCAAAATGACACAAGGTCTGGGAGCTCTGTCTTACGAATCTCGACTGTCAACTCTCAACCTGTTTCCACGTTCTTATAGGCAATTACGTGGTGACCTTATACTTGTATTTCGCATTATCAACGGCCTAGACTGTTGTTTAGATCCCACTGATTATTTCACACAAGCTAACACGCCCAATTTGCGCGGTTATCCCCTAAAACAATGCGCCGGGAAAGCAAGGATCAATGGTTGCAGCGTGGAATGCCCTGCCCACCGATGTTGCAACCTCCTCCTGTGTGAAGTCCTTTAAGTTTAGACTTGACGCGCATCAAGCCTCCCAGTTACCAGCCTCACGTCCACTCACATAACCTGGCACCAACTTAAACTTGTTTATACTACTTGTAACTAGTTAGTAACCGTTATTTATTGCTCTTTTCGTACTAGCTGTCAACGATTATGTACAAAACCCCTTCTTTCGCCTTCCCACTATCAATGTTTTTCTCCGACGACTTGTAACCAATAGGGAGTTCAAAGGCGCTCGCCTATATTTCCCTTAATATACTGAAACTGAAACTGAAACTACTCGCTTTGAAAGTATTCCGCAGTTCACCCACAATGTATTTAGTTATTTAGTGTACTTACCTAGCTAGTTCGTTAGACAGTATAGGCAGTTAGGTAGTTTAGTAAGTTGTTAAGTTTGTTGGTTAGTTAGTACAGTCAGTTAGTATATTTCTTCAGTGGAATAGCATGGTTAGTTAGTTAGCCAGATAGTTGGTTAATGGTTGGTTATGCAGTTAGTTAATTGATTTGTTACTTAGTTAGTTGGTTGATTAGTAAGTTAATATAATTAGTTAGTGGGTTAGCATAGTTAGATGGCTAGCCGACTAGTTGGTCAGTTAGTTGTTTAGTTAGGCAGTTTAATTAGGTGGTTAGTTAGTATAGTTAATTAGTTAGATAGTTAGTAAGTTAGGTAGTTAATTAATTCGTATAGTTAGTTACTTATTCAGTTAGTTAGTTACCATAGCTAGTTAGCCTTGTTAGTAGAGTTAGTATATAGCCGCTCGTTTTGAATGCTTCACGCCATTTTTCCAAACTTTATATTTTTTACGGCTTTTGGTTTCCAGTGGTCGGTCCAGAAACGTGAGTTGGTTAGATTCAGCGATGGGGATGTGCCAATCATTTAACCACATAACTGGTGGATTGAAGGGCAAGCGGTGGTTATTTACGAGAGTTAGCTGGAAATGCCATTGAAAGGCAATTTTCTAGCGCATTATCACTCTGATTACCGTTTTCATCAGCTTATCCAGCATGCTATACTTTGCCGTTTGTTTGTTTTATCTGATCAACGTTGTATTTGTTCGTTTGTGTTTTGGTTATTTTGGTTTGCGCGTTCTGTTAGATTTCATCCGCATGTGTGTTAGCTGACGAACCGCAACAGTACATGAGGATGCGGAAAGCCAATGAACAGCCTACGCCACTTTCGGTGTAACGCCACTTGGCATGAGCAGGATTGTTTGAATGTTGTAACACTTTTGGCGCGTACCTGGGATAAAGCTGGTGTAACAGCGTGCTAGAAAGGACGGCCGGTGTCCCTCCCTTTCACTGCCGCCGACACCCACCATCCCGCAATGTAACGCCGCTCTCGTCTCTCTCCCACTCAACGTCGGCCCCATCCCTCGGTCCTTCCCTGCAGTTGCCCAAACCGCTGCATCCCCACCGGCTCTTTGGCTAATATCTCAGGATCACCTATCCATGCAGACATGTCACCTACTTGAAGTTTCTCATTCCACATGTGCACTAACGCTTATTATACACATTCTCCGTATCCATTTCGTTCTCTTATTCTATATCCCATACTTGACGTATTTCCTTCTCCTACGTGTGAATGAGTTCAAGAGAAGTTAGCAGTTCTGTTCAGGTCTGCCACTGCCAGATTCTCTTCTCAGCGTTTCCTTACTTTGGTGTGTGCTCCGCTTGACGTCATCGGCCGCTGCAGCGGTTCAAACTCGTATAGGGTCGTTGAGTGCCTCAGGCATTTCCTATTGGTCATTGATAACTGCGCGTGAGAAATGCCTGTTCTGAGAATATGCACTCCGGATAGGCTAGCGGATGAGCTCACCATTAAACAAAACACTTTGGGAGAAAACGGCTACCCTTGAAAGTTTATCAACAAATATATGGCAGAAAGCCCTCCAAAATATGATGTGTTGACGGCTGACAAGAAGG